AATATATATGTATATATATATATATATATATATGACAATCTCATAATTTTTATGAATTCATTTACTACAGTAATTATATTTTGTGAATAACTACTCTTATATTCATTATGTTGACTAGTAACTTTTATATTTCTAATTTGTTATTAAAAATTAGTAAAATATTTAAAAAATTTCGAGTTCTTCGAAATGCATTTTGATGACCTCGTTATAATATACAAATGACCCGAATGACGTCACAAGTAATCCGAGAACATTTGGAAAGAAATTTTAAACGTCTCCTTTACGAACCGAATTTGAGAGAAATTGAATTAACGCGCTGCATAATATTAAAAATCTTTCGGAGCGTGAATTAATTCAAGTAATCAAAAGACAGGAATTTGGAAAATGTTTCAATTTTCTTTTTACGCAATCAATAGTCGCAGAACTTTTGTTGGTGCTTATTAAAAGAATGCCTCCAAAGATGTCAGAAAACAAGCACTTCAGTCTTACCCTAAAACAAAAAAAAAGATACACAATTTGAATGGTAATTTAAGGATCACTTCTAATGGATGAGTCACAATGAATTAATTTTTAATTAATTTGTTAATTAATTAATTTCAACATATAAAGCTTTCTACCTTTTGATAAAGCAGTTTCAATTTTCTCAATCAGAAAGCAAATTTAAGTTATATTAGATCCAATTCAATAAAATAAAGTACAATTCCGTTATTCCAGTATTTAGACAAAGATCATATTTTGATTTCTATTATTAAAAATCTATCTGAAAAAAATACTCGATTTTAAAAAATGCCATAATTAGTTGATTTTATTCATTGATTTTATTATTCAAAAGGTATCGAATTACTTTTTCATCGAATTTTTATAATCTTTTTTTTAGAGAGACATTTGATTGTCTATGACGCTAATATGAGATCTATGGCATGGTTAATCATATCATGGTTAAATCATACCACTTTTTTCTTTTAAAACTCGCGTTAAAAATAGTGATTATATTCTTTATCATTACCCAAAAAATATAATTATGATGCCATTATTAATAAAAAACGTCAATTCATTATATTAATAAAGTAAGAAGAAAAGTAACAAGTAACATATTACGTTTCAATTCCATATATTTTCTTTTAGAAATAGATAATATTCAGCTAAATAAAAAATAATTTATTTTTTACCATAAGAAATTTTGCAAATTTCTATTTCTTGTTTAATACTGAAATCGGTTAGTGTCCAAATAAAGTAAATTAATTGTTATAAATAGAGGTAACAATGATAATTTATCTCATTATCATTCAGTTGTTGATCTCAATTTTTTAGTAGATGCATATTTTTTCCCCCTAAAACATGAATACAAAAACCCTCATTTTTTTTATTTACAGCATGGATCCAAAATTCATACTTACAGATCTAAAATTCTACGTACGACTTAGTCTACATCATTCCAATGGATATTTTATAATGATGTTCACCAATTCAGTTTAGGCGCAACTTATTGAACCATTTTGGATTTTTGGTTGACATTAAAAATAAACGTCTTCTTGATTCTATTGTAGAACTATCATATAACAGAAAAATTTTGTATATACCTTAAAGTTATATTATTCCAGTAAACTTATATTATGAAATTTTAGTAAAATTTTTGGAGTAAATATCTGATTTAATCTTATCTCAGATTTTATAAAAATATGCTCAATAGCTTTTTATGCACATAACAGGATTTAAAAAACAAAAATAGATACACACGTTAATTAAAGAGATGTTTCCGCAGGAAATCGATATTTTATTGTAATGAGATATAAGCTGCTTTCCTTTTAGAAAACAGTTGATACAAATATCGTTTCATGTTTATTATTTCATTGAATAGAATGATAGAACGACGTTTGTGTAGATTGTCTTATAAAAGAAAAGCAACCATAGTGTTATATACATTCACGCAGACTGTGGAACTCGTCTATATTTGTGAATAAGATTTCCTAACCTAAACAGGACCATCATATTTAATGCATTACAATTTTTACGATTTTGAGTGACCTTTTTAAAGTTCTTATTCTACACACAAAACGTTAACAATTAAGCATATTTTCATCAAAATGTAAGATAGGAGAGTAAAACCAAATATGTTTTTAATCAGATTTCTTAATTTGATTTCTGTTATTCAATTTCTATAATCAAAGCATGCAAAGTAAAATATCATGTTCTTACCAAAATTCTTTCATTTTATAGACATTATTTCAATATTGAGAGAATATGGAAGAATGAGGAATAAATTGGAATAAACTCCTGAGAATCACAGAACGGTGTACTTCAGTATGTTCCAATATACTCAATATACGACGCATGCGTAAAGCTGTAATGATGCATTCACACTACACAGTCTGCAAACATCCAACGTACGACGATACGATAGGTATTCATTGGCGCATTTTCAACAATTAAATAAACGCTCGCTGATATTGGTTTCTTCCACTATAGTTTTGCCGACAGATTATTGTTTATTTTTGTACCTCGACTTCGAATTAACAAGACGTGAATTATTATCGTGTCATTATTCTGAATATAGGATCATTTATATTAGCTGTAATCTGTAAGAATTGATCAATCACAGTCAAATAAAAGAGGAATAATCGATTATGATTGGTCAATTCTTACAAATTACATAATTTAGATTATCAATTTATATTCTTTTAAAAATATATGCGTTAAAGTTTTAACAATAAATTCTTTATTAATGTAATTATGAAATATTTCTCTATGTAACATAAAATATAGTAAAATTTCTGTGTAGAATTTCAGACGTATCCCTTGGTGTCTCTGTAAAGCTTAATTGTACCACCGACGAGATATTATTAAAGACCGTCAACTCTGGGCAAATTTTCGACGGTATAAAAAGGGCCCGAAGGGCCCGGAGATAATTGAAGAATGCTGACATTATCGACAATTGATATAAATTTGCTATTATTAACATAAATATTTGGCTCATACATTATTAAATTTCATGATTTTTTATTACATAAATGTTCCTAGTAGTATGCATGTTCATAAATAAATATGCATACTTGTAAAGCTATAATATCCTATATATTGCAGAAAAATTACAATTTTTTTCTCTGCTCATTTCTATTGATAATCAAACTTTGACGATAACACTGAAATTACAATTTTAAAGAAAAATCGAGTATTATTGAGTTCTAAATGCATAAATACGTCTACTAAACTAATAAATCATAAAATTAGTACAATATTATCAGTTTTTAACTCTTAATTACTTCAATATTCACAAGAACGCGAACTCCCGTAAAGATGTCGGTCTTTAATAGTATCTCGTCGATGATTGTGCCTACAATGCTAGAAATCGATCCGAGATCTCGGATAAAATTGACAAATCACATTTGAACAATTCAATCACATGACCAATTCGATTGATCAACTCTTCCTTTATGAGATTTCAGACTGATTTCTAACATTGTAGATACAAGGCTTAAGAAAAGATCTCAACCATGGTGGATATATACAAGGTAAAACATTTCGCATAATAGCAATACTTGGAAATAACCAATCAATGTTTCCCAATATGCAATTTCTTGCGTTGGTATACTGGAACAGCCAATCAAATGTTATCCAAAATTCACGCTGCGCAACCATGGCTCACCTCGTATATTTCCATAATCTCAACGTATTGGCAAGACTGCAATGCGAACATCGGACGAATTTACAGAACGCGAAAGTTCATTGTTATTTACTGCACAAATATCGCATAAGTTCAATTGTTATATTCGACGAATATTGAATCTGATTGAGTGCTGATACTCGATGGAATGAAGGAATTCAAGAATTAAATGGCTTATATTTATAAATAAAATATGTATTCGAATATCTGCTAATTATTCCTTATGTATATTCAGCTTTAAATATTTTTGCGATGTTTTAAAAGTCAATTGTTCCACCTTGTAAATTTTATCTGTTAGGTAAATATCTGGCAATCCACGCATGTGATTGGATAATCTTGCTACTTACCTAATAGGTAAAATTTATCAAAAGGTGAAACAATCGGATCTAAATGATGCTGAATCGGTTATGAGGATAGAGCGGAGGCCATTTTATAACAAAGATTAAATGATACTCAGTGTTGATTAACGCCTTGTTTATACAAGACCTTCCAATTATACCTACGATATGTCGAAACTCGTAGCTGGAAAACTGGCATTTGTTACCGGTTTGTATAGTTTTTTTTTTTATATTGAAGCTGATAACTTAACTAAAATTACTTTTTTATACTTTATTGAAACTTAATTTTTAATGCTAGCTCATAACTCGATTAGATTAACAAATTAATAAATTCATAACTCAATTAGAACTAACAAAATTAATTTTAAATATTCAATCATTTTTTCTGTAATCATTTTGTTTATATAATATTTTAATTATGTGATAAATTGTATCGTAGATATTGAGTTAATTGTTAGCATTTAACAACTCAGCAGATTTAATGTATTTTTTAGGCTTGAGCATTTACATATTGATAACGTTGAATCATGTTTAAAAAGATACAGTGATTTCAATATCATATTTAGATAACAGTATATACTCATTTATTAATATCTTTTTGTGTATAGAAACAAAGATTAAAAAAATAAAAAAACACCACTCGCTACTCTATTTAAGATTAATATAATTAAGCGATTAAACGACTAAGAAGAGACGTACGTATTTAAAGGTTAGGAAATCTGTTATACCGATGAAAAATAAAAAATATTTTAATAAAGTAGACCTTTTGTTTTGCGTGAAAAATTTTTATTAAGATGATAAGTTATACATATAACTGTACATATACGATTCCATATAATTTTTTAACTTTACACGCGAAACGAAGTTTCTCCTCACATTGCTCGATCGATACTTAACACATCGGTCAATAAGTCCCCGGTCTGACACATAGAGAGCGCCACTAACACAAAAAGTACATAGTGGTTCGAAAGAACAGACCCTTTTAGGCGTACTGTCAAATGTATATGTCATTCGGATCATTATTGTGTGAGTTATTGAAGCTTTAGTGACGCTAATTTGGTTATTTTCATAACAATGGAAAAAAAGGAATTTCGTGTGCTCATTAAACACTGCTTTTTGATGGGAAAAAACACCGTTGAGGCAAAACAGTGGTTGGACAAACATTATGGCACCTCTGCCCCAGGCAAATCAACAATTATCGA